GTGTCACCAGGGTGTGCGAGAGTGTCTCTCCATTACTCGTATTACCTTTAATAGCTTGCTTTGATTAGGCCCCAGCGTCATTGTCGGACAATTTCGAGCCGTGGCAGCACATGGGTGATACTCCTGGGCTACTAATATATCCCCACGAGATTAAATTTTCGTCACTACCTCATCTGGGTTTAATTTAACAGCCAACTACCATTTTATAACACGCGACTGCAGAGAACATCCCTTTCTCCCTATCGAACACTTCTATCGGTCATTTCTCGATCATTGTCAATTATACGTCGTTTCCCGAATGCCATATCATCTACGTTAAGTTATTTCTCCTCTTCTCTTCACTCTCCCTCATTTTCTCTGGCCACCTGGACACCACCAGCGCAAAACGTTCGTAACGAACCGGTTTCCCAATGCCCACGCGATCTCGATGACCTTCAACGCCGAGCTCATCGAAAAATTTCACCGTCTCTAGATTATCACATCGATGATCGTGAACAGATTATAGTTCTGTCATTTGAAAAAAGAGACAAGGTCATCAATAATTGCTGTAAATTTTAAGAAATCACAGAAATTCGTGGCGTGAATGGGAAAGATTTGATAAGGGGAAACCAAATTGGTTGGATGACAATCATCGCACGCCATGCTGTCAAGGAAACTTTCCTTCCGATCAGGTTCAACTCTCCGTGTGCCGTGTTAGGAATGATGAAAAGGGGAAAACAGCATATTTTGGGAGGTTTTCGGGGGAAAAGGTCACACTCATCGAAGTGGCACCGTATTTTTGAAAGAACTGAGAATTTCTAGAGATAGGGTCCCCTTCTGCCTACCCTTCTGTAGACTATTCTATATTTTATTTTTTTTTATTTTCGATCTTCTATCGATTACCTCTTACAACTATCTTCCCATTGTTGCTTATACCGATAATAAGTAATCATAACATAATCATAGGGGTTTTGCGAAATTTAGAGAAATTTCTGAAAGCTTCTCAAAATTAAGCAGTTGTTCGGTGGTGGGACCATAAAAAATCTCAAATGGGATTACGCGATTGATTCACGAATGATCACCCCGCAGCCCACAATATCCCTAGAGAGCAGACATTCAACATATCTATTCATACCCGGCGTCGAAAACCCCCTTCCGAACTTTGTCAATTATTCGGGTTCTGGTTGAGTATTACATTCATCGGACCACTAATTTTGGGCGCTAATTCTTGCACACTATGCGGGGACATCCTCAAGACTAAGCTCAGAAGGGCGTAAATTGACGCCCGTTGGAGTTCGCCCTACCTCCACATGAGAAGACGGTTAGATCCTTCTTGAAACCAAAATACTTGTTTACGCGATTTCAAATGCATTGCCACCACAATGCCTCCGTGTTTTGCGATAAGCGCCGATTTTTTTATAGCCCTAAGCTCACATTTGGCTCATAAAATGAGCTTTGGAGCCATTGCTTGCTTTTTTCTGGGATATCACCCCACGGGATAGATCCCATGACACTTTTGAAACCATTGCGCTGAAAGAAGTTGACGGTTGGCCCGAGTAGAAATCCCACGGAAAGGACTCCCACATCGTTGAATTAAACTATACTTTGAATTCAAAACTTACAGTAGCACTACAATGCTGCCTGCAGTACCGCTGGAATGTACTTTTTATTTGTGTAAAAAACACTCGTAGTAGTATAATAGTCTGTGGACGCAATATCGGGTAATCAACTTCATATAGCTCCTCGTAATTACTTTATGGCATCCAGTTCACTGCATCTGGTTATACTCCAACTCTAGTCGAACAGAAGAGCTTCCGCAAGAGCTTCTTTCTATTGCTTTGCCTAATTTATTTCGGTTTTGGTTTCCTTTCCTGGCAGATTCCTACGTCTTGTTTTGTTAGCCATAAAAATGCATCCATCCGCCTTCGCTGTGAGTCTAAGAGTTTTACACAACAAGTCGTATTTTCGCTGATGGAATCGCTGCCTTCGCTGGCACTTCGAGTAAACTTTTCGAACAGCGGATGATTTACTGAAATCACTTATTTTTGTTAGAGTAATGATGGCCTCAGAGAGAACGCGCGGTAAAGAATGGTGGTGCTTGAAGTTATCAAAACCCTTGTATAATAAATAAGAGTAACGATGACCGTTAGACAAGTGGGTGCAAAGTCAGTTTGGGGGACCATGCGGTGGCACGGCGTCTCAAGAACGGCGGCACTAGGCCTGAGCCCTAGGAAGGAATGAAATGGTGCCCCGGTAGCGTAACTGGTAGCGCACTTGCCCGGAAAGCGAGAGGTGCGGGTTCTAGTCCCGCCTGGGGCGAAAGTTTTGTTCACAACCCAGCATTCTTGTGAAACATTCACAAACTGTTCACAGCTTATAGCATAACTTCGTAGCCAAAGCTTCAGGCCATTGCGTTTTGCAGAGACCTCGCCATACCCAATCACTTAGGCACCGCACAAAGCGTCAATTTTCTTCAGTGAAGCAATAACTTCATTCTGTTGGTGCATTGGGGATTACCAAAAAGGTGCCAGACTGCACAAAAGGTAACTAGGTACATTTACTTGCTGCCAACCTCGGAAACTTTGTTTACTGGACCACCAGCGATAATCTGCACTCACGGGCAAAAAGTTGAACACCTGTATGGATATGGCTAACCCAGCTCCAACCTATTCCAACCATAAACTGCATATTGCACCACATTAGTTTGGATGAAATTTCACATATTAATGAGCACATTCTGGACCTATCGCCATGTGCCCGAGAGGGTGGGGCCAGTAATGCCAGGGAAGCCACTGGAACAAAGCCTCGCAGGGAGGGAGGGACTCTTGAGAGAGTGAGATTTGCTTACGCATCTTGGATTCCGTCTTCTCTCTTGAGGCGCAGTCCTAAAACCGAGCTTTTCTGTGAATCTGAGGCACTTACGGGCTGGACCCCAGACCCCGCCCCCGGAGCCCATAGCATTGCGCCCTGAACTTTATCTGAGCATCGGGATTTTTTACACATATAGGACTAATTTACCTCTTCCACAAAAGTGCGGGAATAATTTTCTTCATTTCCTTTTTTTCTTAAACCATGTGAATTTCTTTCTTCACAAGCACAAAATTTTTTCGTTGTCTTAATCCAAACCGACTTCTACGTTCAATGAAGCTATCGCTTCAAGAATAACTCAACTTTCCTAGCTCTTGATTTTTCGACCTCTCGTCAACTAACCGTCATTATTTCTAAATCTTTTTTCTCGATTTTTTTACCCATGATCTTGAAAAAATGAGATTCACGCGCCTGGTCCTTTACCGGATTTCTCTTCTGGGACGGGAACTTTTTACTTTCTTCATTAAAATGAACACTTTCAAGCTTCGTTGTGTGAGTTCTTCCAGTGTCACATGCTTTTAATTGTACCACCCATCCATCAGTCTTTGTAATGAACACGAATTCTGCCATAATTCGATTACATCGCTTTTACGGTCAGACTTCGGCTTTTTAATTTGTCTACAAATCAAAAAAGTGTCACCAACCTAATGAGTTTCTTTCCGTGTGATTTTCGCTTTGAAGAACGCCAGACTAGTTTCATCAAAGCAATTCTTCAACCTTGAGCCCCTAAAATAAAAATTTTTCACCACTTTCGTGTGAGAGTGTGCGTGTGAGCTTGAAGAAATGGAATAGGGAGAGAGAAGCAGTCGCACCAATTCCTTTCCGCTGCTTTTTTTCTCTTGAAGAAGCCTGATGATTGAAAAGACCCTACTCCTAATCTCTAAGTCCTTAAGATTGAGGGCTCATGAAAACTGAAACTTATAATAGTATAGTAACCAAGACGCATTGGAACCGTATCTCAAAATTGGGGCACGGTTGATGTAATATGCATTGAACCCGGCGTGAAACATTTCTCTTTGTGTCGAAATCGGGTCGAGGCCTTCTGCGGGAGGAGCCACGGGTATGGTGAGCATTCTTCAATTTCCCCACGGAGTTCTTGCTATTTCCTAGGCTCAGTCCCCTACGTCTTCCCCCCCTCCTCTCCTCAAGTTGGGAGGTGATCGTACATGCGATTAGGCGATCGGGCGAGTAGGCGAGTAGGCGATCAAGCGAGCTGAACGGGTGGAGCAACAAATCAATACGTATCCTTCTCGTATCACCTACCCGCCCGCATAATCGCTTACTCGTCTGGTCGGCTAATCAATATCAGTACACTTTCTTTTTGGATCATTGCACGCTTAGTTCGCTATCGATGTACAACGCAACGTCTGTAACGCTTGCTAAGGCTTCTCACTCTTCGGACAACCTGCTAACACATTCTGAGATACATTTGAAAAAAAAAGCTCTTGATCATCTCACCCGTTTGGCTCCCTTCTCTGAAACCCGCAGCGGCTTCAGGAGATATTCTGTGGAATAAAAGCGTTACATTCAATAAAAAATGCCAGCACATTCTTTGAAAACTGTTTGTTTGAAGATTCGCTTTGAAAAAGGCTTGCGAGTTTAACTCTCTTTCTCCTCTTTCTTTCCCCTTTCTGACCCTTCCTTTTTTTCCTTTCCTTCTGTCTTCTCTTTTTGAAACCTCCTCCTAATTTGTCCATAAAGTATAAAAAAAATTTCAAAACCCTTGTAGGTTCTAGCTTCGCTGAACAAAGGAAGGCAAACTTTATGATTTACTTTATCTCTTTCGTTGAATTTTATTCTGTTTTATTTTTATCTTCTTTTATTCAATTTTATGCTTCTTTTATTCAATTGCTGATGAAATCGATCGAACGAAACAATGATATCAGCTTATGTCAGTTCCCTCTAATGCGCCATGCATTCGTTTTTCAGTTGAATTGTTATTTCTTAAGGAGAACTAAGAATGATTAAGAAAGATTGTTAGGAAGAATTGCATCCAACATTCTTTGAAAGGTCAAACATGGGGCTTGTTTTTGGAAACCTCATTCCATCACCTCAAAACCGACGTGAATGATAAGAAGAACCCTTTCAAAGAATGTTGTGGTTTTGCATTCTAATGATTCCCATCACATCTATTCAACGAATGCTGCCATGGAATGCTCATCAGGACTTTAATGAGATTTCAGGAGTATGTGGTGGCGCACGAAACAGGACATGCGCTCGGCTTCTGGCACACACATCAACGACCCGACAGGTTCGATTCCACTGCAACTTTTTCGGCCATTTTTTGTCTGAGAACTCATCTGAAAGATGCTCGTTTCCTCTTTCAGAGATCGTCACATTTCTATTAATTGGAAAAATGTGATGGAAGAAGCGACCGCGTCATTTATGCCATTTCGAAGCATGCTTCAAGCCTTCGGTATTCGTCAAGTAAGTCTCGGATTGCCTTTAAAGGAGGAATTCACGATTAGAATGAAGGTCGAAGAAGGTAATTCACCTAGTTGAGGGACCCACGGACCTCCTGAGGGTGCGAACTGACGCGCAATTGGCACCGAAAAATTGACCTCGGCGACCTATAAGGCTCAATCTTGGCGCGGTGGGCCAGTGCACGCCCACCGACCATCTGATCGGGTTCTGTGCCGATTCTCATGCAGGCGGATGTGTCGCAAATTTATTCTCTGTTACCCACTATGCTTGAAAATCTTCATTTACTCGCCGAGTTATCCGCAGATATTTGAGCTTGACCAGGCTTGTCGAAACACTGTCCTCCGAGAATGCTGTTCTTAGCA